TCGCCCTTATTAAATAACCCATGTTTTGTCTTTGGAACTAAAATTTGCAGAACTATTACTGACAAGCTTAGTACCGCATGCCATTTATTAAAGTAGGTTATATATTGAGCATACATTATTGCGTATCATCTGTCTTGGAAAAAAAAGTGAAGAGTATCCACACTTCATGCAGATACATCAATACATGGATATGTCCTGCCATCTAGTATCTCTAATATCTTAACTGTAATCCACTATCTCTATTAATTCACCTCCATAATCCTCCTCCATACTCCTACAAAATCTTCCTCCATACTCTTCTTCCATGGTCCTTAAATAATGATTATGACGCCAACACTGTGACACTATACATGTCGCTCAAAACGTGACGAACAAATTTTCAGAATGACAGCCTTAAGACATATCCATGTCAACTTTCTCGAACTTTAATTTTAAGAGGACGCTACCCATCCGTAATTTATCCACGAAAAATGATTTTGCGGGGGACAAGAATGTGAGAGCTGTATTTAGAGTAGCCGTATACGATTTTTAGAATGGATAAAGAAGAACTTTATCTACGAGGTAGCGTTTTTAGTTTTTAGATAACTTAAGCACAATCAAAATTATTCATTCGTAAATATTCTTTATTTTTTCCTTTTTTAATTTGATTATAAAAAAATATTACATGTCAATTATTATTTAAGGTGGACTCTCGAGAACAGAGAAAATTAAATAAAAAGTTTACGTTATTTCTTCAACTAAAAAAATCTACCAACAATTTTTTTAGAATTTCTAGTGATTCTTTAATGTCCGAGTTCAGACCTTTCCATAATTTATTTGAATTCGGTCAATATAAAATTTACATACCGCTTTAGAACATTCCGGGAAAACAAAGGGACCTTCTATTATTTTAGTAATGTGAGATCAATGATTGTTAAAAAAAAGGGTTTTCTATTAACCAAGTTTGGCTTTAAAGATTTTTCATATTTTTTTATCTGTTATCTCTCTTCCGATATTCAAATTTTACTCTTCTTTTTATTTCATGACAATGGAGATGGCTATATAATAGTTTATTTCATCTCAAACAGCAATAGAATTATTATTATTATTTTCTTTTATTAAATGTTATTTAAAATATGTATGTTACACAATACACATACACGTCATGTATTTTGTGTGTTCCTGTTCATTTTATTTCATAGCCACTCCTAATATAAATAAAGTTAATATTAGGACGGAGTTGATAATTTATATCACAATGTAAAAAAAAATACTCTATTTTGTCTCAAGCTTAGTTTAATGTTAACTGCAACAAAAAAATTGAAACCATAATAATAGTTTAAAATTTAGAACACTACAGTATAAAACAATATAATATTAAATAGAATAATATAACTGTAAACGTTTATATACATTCGTGTACTTATTTTGCGTACACGTTGTGCCTTACAATGTACCTATATTGAGGAAACAAGTAATATTATATTTTTGTAATCGTAGTTATTCCTTTATTTCCACACTGCGATAATTATCTTAGTAGATACTATGACATAGTAAAGCGCTGCTGTATAGGTATAGAGGAAAGTTGTTTATTCGTAATCAGGGCCAGTCTGTTGTGAGCGATGATAATGATGACAATGCCACCGAACTATGCGTACACCAAGGTGTATTATTTTATGGTAGTAAAGAGTTTTTCAAATAGTTTATTATTTTATAACTTGTTTAGAATTTTAACACTACATTATCTGTGCAGGTATTATTTTAATCTGAACAAAAACACTTCGTTAGCTCAGTGTAAAGATTCACTAAATAAAACAACAGACTTAAAAGTATCTAATAGAAAATGAAAACAAAGTAAATACTATAGTAATACAACCTAAATATTTAAAACTTTAAAAATTTAAAACATGGCCAAGAAGTGTGGTACCAATGTTGTTACATACCTAAAAGGAGATCCCCATAGTTTGCTGTCGATTGAATGGTATTTCTTCAAAAACTATCATTTTGCAAATAATGCTGCCATACTATTCCGATATCGCAAGACAAAGTTTATTAAGCAAAACTTATTTAAGTTGAATAAATAATTAAAGATTGTTAAACATGTAAATATTATTATTAAACTCTATGACCATTACTGGGAACATTTTTGGGTTGATGCTAAAAAGTTGAACTTTTTTAATGATTTTTATTATATAATAAGGACAAATAAAAATAATAGTATAATAAAATAACCAAACTAGGTTTAATGTATATTAAGCAGTAGACACAATTCGTGAAAAATATCTCTCATCGTGATTATAAATATATTATTTGATTTACGTGTCCTAAAGTAGGTACCTAAATAGGTATCTTATACAATATTTTAGTTTGAAAATGTACGTTTTAATATTTTATTTTGCTAAAACTTATTTTTCATTACACTTTTATTATGATATGACTTATAATATTTTATGAAAAATTGTGCATAAAACTTTATTGTAATTTTCTACGCTTTTTTAAGTGATGACAATGACATTTAATCTGTATTTTCTGACATTTCTAATAACATACATCTATTTGATTTCATGATCGGTGACATTATTAACATTGTAAACATTGTAACATTGTAACATTATTAATAGCTAACATAAATAAAACAAAGTTTGTGATGAAATGACATACTGAACATATTTTTTGCCTTTTCGACTGTAATAATTGCCAAATAAATAAAAACAATTATTCATAATTAGTTGGAATTGTTTAAAAACTATCAAATATCAACAAGTAAAATTACGCTATCGTTTTACCATAAACTTTTTGTCGAAATGAAATTTAAAAAAAATATTGAAACCAATATGTATCATGTAAGAAGATGATAAATTACCAATTATTATTATAAAACGGTTGGTACATTTCCTTATCACTTATATTTGACGTAAAACGTCTACAGAATTACGATTATATCTAATAGCCTAAAGTAATTTCCTGAAATGCTGTTAAACTTTTGATTTTATACACAGCATTTCATTTGCTTCAAACTTTTAGGTCCGTTGAAATGTCTTGCCGCAAAGTTGTCTACCATTGCCTGTCGCCTATTCATTTCTAGTCTCAATTACACGATCGACCGCACCCGAAGGAAGCCTGTACATTTTGCCGCTTTTGTCTTGCAAATTCAGCGTTTTGTTATTGTTATGCACACAGCAGTTCTAGATTTGTATTCTCCTGACTCCCTCTGACCATAAGCAAATTTAGCCTTTCTAAAGAAGTTTTTGCTTATAATGCCGTCAGGCTTGATGGGTAATAATTAACAGAATATATTAATTTTTGAGTTAACAAAAACTAGATAGCGACTGTACGATTCTCTGCCCTATTACTACCATTATTATTATTCCCCTGGATTTCCTCTTTTTCGGTTAATGTGCCTCATTAAATAGGACCCCGGTTCCCGACTCCCAGTATTATCATAGTCTGTTGTTGTATTACTTAACTGTTGTCTGACGAAAACAAATTTTACCCCGACGAAATAATAATACTATTTTAGTTTTTTATTAACTGCAAATTTCGATAAGAGCTTCATTAAAATATTGACTAATATTGCTTGACTCAGAAGTAACAAATGAAGGGCCGAGGGGAAAAACGATCATTACCACTCGTAAATTTTTTTCTTCTAAAATTTAGATTAATAAATTTGATTGTTTTGTAATTAAACTAATCAATAAAGATAGTTAAAGAATAATATTATTTTATGTGCGTTATCTTATACTAAATCTCCTAGTCTTTTTGAATTCTGAAACTTTAAAACAGCAATACTGAAAACTTTGGGTATGTTGACTATGATCGTTTTTCCCCGCAGCCCTTCAAGTAGTTTCACGTATCGATGATTAAAATTAAAAATGTTGTTGATACGTTTTTGTCCAAAATATGTTTTTACTATAAAATCAGATAAAAGAATAAATATTTGTTAAAATATAACCAATACTTAAATCGCTAGATAGCGTTAGAACATACGTTAAATATGTAAGCAAATGTAAAAAGGGAAACTTGACACTCTCCTGTAAAAATGTTGTATTGTACGTACATTTTTTAATAATTCCATCGATAGAAAAACATTTCAAAATTTGAGTAAAAATAGTTGGACTATTAGGTACTGCAGATAAACATTTTTTGAAATCAACACCCCCCCCCCCCCATTAGGTATTTTTTTCTTATAATGCTTAAACGAGTGATTGATCTATACTCTGGAATGTATATCACTCTACACCCATTTTCAGTATTAATAGTATAATAACCGATTGGGATTTAGTAAGCATATTGATTGTAATAAGCTAAAAAGACACATTTGTATGCCGCAATACACTTGTTAAGAATTCAAGTAATTTTAAGATTACTTTATAAAATTTCAGAACGTCTAAAAAGCGGAAAATAATGTCAAGCCAATTGTGGACTAAGCGTTTCCATAGTAAGTTGTCATGTAAAATCTCTAGAGTTGGGATGTTTGACTCATAGATCTCTAATCAATAAAATTGGTCACCGACGGCTCTATCAAATTGAAAAGTTATAATTATTTCTTTTTATACCAACATTACCAACATTAATATTGCTCTCGACCTCGGCAATGGCAACAAGTTCATGAAACTATTACTCCACTTAGGTTAACTACCATTTTAGTCGTACACTCAGATAGGTCGGCATAAAAGCTTTAATAGTCATTAGTATGCCGTGTACAACATGTATTTGTAGATAGCGACAAAATATCATTGTATAATATGTATAACGTCTAATTGTATAATAGGTACATCGTCTACATTCAACAATCATATTACTCGGCGAATAGCACTAATACAGAACTAATTGAGAACAGTTTTTTTTTTTTTTTATAGTTATTATCGTCATTATTATTGTTGTTATTTTTTCATTTAACGATTTTTTTTAATTTTCAGCTGATTATTGCGTGAGTCGTGGTCGTAGCTGAACGATAACAATAATATAGTGTTCCTAATATACTAAGGTATTGTTACAGAAGCTATCAGTAGAAACTTCAAGATCACCTGTTTGTGTTGCGGCGCGCACGCGTTGTTCGTCAGTAGCGGCAGCGTTAACGGCGGAAGGCCACTCGCGCCGTAAGCAGTCCGTACACGCCACTTCCGCCAGCCACATGTATGGGTCCTGTGTTACCGTCTTGTAAACGCAAACACACTTAAATATGTACAAATTGTAAAAAAATACAATGATACCGAAATCGTACTAGCGCGTTTGTACACGTTAGTCCAAAACGGGATGTTACCATCCGTCTACATTCGAGGGCCACGTGATGCGCAGGTAATTTAATTTTTTTTTTTTACTATTATCCGTCAATATATTCAACAGGTAGTACGGTAAACAAAATATTGCAACGATATTCAAGCAATAAATTCAATTTTAAGCGAGTTAACCAATACAAACTGTGTTTGCTTATGTTTGCCGAATTAATCCGATTACGAATCAAATAAGTAGAAAGTGTTGGATCGACCTCCCTGCGATCATTGAAAAACGCCGGTTTTTGTTATCTATATACTTTTTTTTATCTTAGAATTTTTTCTTTATGACAGTTTAAACGTTATAGACAACATGCAATAGTATAATAAGTAATAATTAGTATTCTAAAGCGTATAGTTAATTATGTCAATTGCTGATTGACAACGGTTATAGTATAAAGTGGTTTGACAATAGTTCATTATTATATGGCGTTGACAAAATATGCAATTTAAGCATGAATGCACAAATGTATAACAAAACTCATGGTCGTTTGAACAAACTTTGTATAACAATTTTATATTTAAAATGTAAATAGGGTTTAACCTATAGTTTCAGTATTATTAAACCACCCTTAAATTTTAAGTATAGTTGGTGTGAACGGTCATTAATCTTTTTTTTTTTGTTGCTTTAGAATTTATACTTATTTTGTATCAGCTTTAATCTCTTAAATACAGTACATATAATAATTAATTGATAATATGTTTATTTGACCAATCGTCTGTTAATATGTAAAATTTTAATTTTAAAATTAAACTAGTTGAATTTAATTTGGTGATGTCATTGAATATAGGAAACGACAGGGCTAATACTACCCCTCTCCGTCGCTCTCTTTATGATTAATTATTGGATAAAATTCCAAAATTGTATGCATTTATCCAAAATAAACCTGAACATTTTGTTTTACTTCAAAAGGATATTATGTACGTTTTGTCGCCTGAAAACAATAATATAAATAATTGTATTATAATGATTTCATCTGTATTATTTAAGTGTTTACAATTATGCTTCTCTCTAGGGTGACCTCTGATTAAATATATTTTATGTTCACACTTTTTGTTGAACTGTTTTATTATAAAAGTGTTAAGCCAACACGTAAATCGTAATTTTAATAAACATTTAATTCTATATAACTAACTTTAGATACATATTATACAGTGTTACGTGCTTATTTTAATACCACCTTTACATTAACTTATTAGAAAACGACCATTTATGACCTATGTGTAATGTGTACGCACATAAGAAACTTCTTTTATGGGAATATTTTCTTATGCGAGTACACCGGTACAATCTCACTTCTTAAGTCCTAGCAGTAATATTTACATTAAACTTAATAGTAGGTATGTTCATACGTTCCGCTATCATAACTTGTGTGGGGGCTGGAACAAATACGATTAAATATTTAGATAAAAATATAGGATATGAATCAAAATAAGGGTATAATTGACAAAACTAGAGTATAGAACAAGTTAAGGACAAGGACGATTATATATATTTTGTAAAACTGCGCCCATAAAGTTATTCGGAGTCAAATCTTTTGGAAACAATAAATGTGTGTTCCGTCTGGCCTTGCCGACCGGGCTTTTGACTACATATTATTTGGAAAGGGACATAATGGCTGTGGACAACGCAAGTTACGAGAGAATGTCACATGAACCGTAATATATTATTGTGGCTGTACGATAATGATTAATATGAATTCGTGAATTTATCCACGAAAGCACTGAGTAAAGGCCTCTGGTTTTCCACTTGTGTCTGTTTGTGTGCGCGTTGTTATTGTAGCCCTTACAACAATAAACCCTCGCGTCCATTACCAGGCACGATTGTTAGTTCAACTTAACACGGGTGCTAATGAAAATAAATTTGCTTTCGAATTAAATAATCGAAAATTTAACGGGAAAAAAAAATTGCTTTACCTGTCACCGAGGCTTCAGCAATCGGTGGTTGTCAATTGCTGGCATCAATATCTAATGGTTACGTCGACATTTGCTTCAATAATTTCGTCTGAAACTCATCATGATATGTTTCGTTGTGCTCCAACTGTTTAGTGGAACACTGACCGAGCAGCGCCTAAGTAAACGGTCGTAAATCTAACCACAAGCTGCTTAATATTTTACAGCTACCGACGTTATAGCATCAATACGATGTCTGGGAAGGTCGAGAGGGAAAAAAAGGTTAGTCTTAAACGTTGTCCCTAAATAGATGTTTTTAAAAATTGCCTCGTGACGCAAACAGTCAATAGACGCTGAATGTGGTATTGTTTTTGCAAAAAGTAAACTTGTGAAAATGTATAATATAATACCGTTGTGATCTTTGTGCAGGTAATTTCGGGCGTAAGTGATGCATTGAAACCTAATCCACTTGACTATTATTTTGATAACTCTCAATACTATATTATTTTATAAGTAGCTGCGCGATATTACATTATTATACATGTCCCACGTACTATGTACTTTGACAACTGAACAATCGTTTTTTTAGTACATACACTATTAATAATAATTATCAAGAAAAGTGCTAAAATATTTATAGATATTTCTATAATACAAACTTTTATTTAATACTTTAATTATTTAAACCGTGTCAATGATAATAATATAATGAACGTAGAATGTTAGCTGTCATCACTTACCTGACCAATATGTTTGAAATAATAATAAAATGAATAACGAAACACAAGGTATGTGTTTATTTATGTATATTCCAATGGAATATAATACTAATGTAAATACGTTTAAAATTGTATTTTATAAGTAAAACATATATTGATTTTATACAAAATTCCGTTTATCATATTAATTTATGCAATAAAGACTTTGCATTTTTATTGAGATACCAGTAAACAATGTAAAATCGATTACGCGTTAGCTTACTCGTTCAGTAAAAAAAATAAAAACGATTTAAACTTAAATTTAGCGAATAAATTAAAAATCGATCATCCTCCTTGGTATGTGTATAAGAGTATAAAAATATTATGAAAAATCAGTTTACAAAATGAACCGATGTTATCCCGATAATAAAATAATCATCGTGTTTGCAACTTTAACAATGGACGGATGATTGAAAAGTTTCTTGACTTTCCTTACTTGCTTTCATGGCAATTTATTATTTGACTCTCTCCGGTGATAACATCAAACGAATATAAACGCTGTATACAGAAATGAAATGAAGTATATACATAATTGTTAATGGCGCCAAACGGATGCCGTAAGAAAATAATGTTGTTTGTCAGAGCAGATTATTTTTTATTTCACCAGCCGGCATAAGCCGGACTGTGAATAATGAAACAGGTTTTTACGCTTGAAAATGAAATTCCTCGTTATAGGCTTTTGCAGCGTTTTCTTGCCGTTCAGATGAGTTTTTTTAAATTTTTTTTTTTTTACGTTTTCCTCTTCTATTTATTTTAACGACTTTTTCGCAGTTTTTCACATTGTGTTGGGACACCCAAGCCCATACCGGGTCGGCTACTCCGCCATAGCTTGGTCACCTCCGTCGTCGTGGCCGGCCAAGTATTATTGTTTTGCTCTATTTATATATATACTATATAGGGGAGATTTATGTGGTTGTTTCGTATGCGGCCTGGCACTTCATCCAGACATTATAACGTGGCGTAAATTTTAATTACGTTTTCTCTGCCACCTCAGACAATCCGATTTGCCCTAAACCACTCTTAACCTTACGCCTCTGTCGCCCTAACCCTTGCCCGCCGTTCTTGGTCCCCCCGCCCTCTTGCCAAACACCACTCTACTCTAAAACACTGTCACCGTCCGTCGCCATCGCCGTTGTCGTTATCGGCATACGCCTTCGAAGCTCTGTGGCACCAATACAGTGTAATATAAAACGTGTTGGTATTAGATATCCCGGAGAAAGTGCTTATTTCTCGGTGTGTGCCCGCCGGCGAGGCGCCATTACCCACCGTCTCAGTCAACTCCCCTGATATTAGCCCGTGATTGCAAATCTCAGCGGGTATTTTCTCTACGTCTTCCTTCTTTTTATTCGGTACACACACACGCGCGCACAGAGACTTACGCTTGTATATGTATTATATATTCTGTCATTACTATGATTGTGTTATCCTTCCCGTCGGAATAAACTGAATAGTGCCGTTGGGCGTGAACGCTTCTCGTTATATTTTATATTGTTATGTACATATAGTATATAATAATATTTATTGTAGAACATACACATTCGCTCAGCTATTTGTTTGAGGAATATTAAATTAAATAAAAATTAATTAGGTTGTATAAAAACTGAATTACGAATACACGGCTCGGAAGACAAAAGAAGAGTTAAACTTCTCTCATTTCCCGCGGTACAGACAAATGCTATAATTTTCCAGAATTAAAGATAAATATGATGTTCTCTTAGGTGAAATACAGCCATTAATATCGGTTCGATAATTTAATAATATTATATTCTCTTAGTGGCTTTCAGTTTCATTTTTTCCCGATGATTTTGAATTTTTATTACATTACCTACTAAAATAATTATATTAACATATTATCTTTTACAAATAATTGTATTCCTACGGGACCATGAAAAATAAACCACTTGATTTATATTACTAAGCCTGATAGCTCCTTAGTATTCTACGGGAAATGTATGTTTATTTTGAATAACAATTTTAAGCTATACCTTTTGTTCTTGGTGTTATGAACATACAATTCGCTCGTCTAATATATTCAAACACATCAATATAAACTTTTCTTAAAACTTAAAAGATCCAAATCCTACAACCGTAGTTCAAAAACTTTAATAATAATTTAAAAAAATAATTCATTGAATAAACTTATTTGTTTGCATTTCATTAGGAAATGGTGATTCTGGTATTTCCCAAACATTAAAATAAAGATATTTGTTCGTTAAACAAATAAATGTATTCAAATTCTAAACTCATCAAAAGCTTAACAAAGTTTAACAGTTCATATTTATAAATTAAATGGTATTTTTCACTTGATATTGTTTCTGTACTTTTCACATTTAACCAGAAACCGAGTATGACGTGAAATTCGGATGACTTCTTA